GCCGACACTCTGCACTCCCAGCAGCCGCCCCTTTGGCGAGGAGTCGCCTTTCACCTGTCCCCCCGGCGTGGATTTGACTGCACACCGGTTTGGAAAATAATTTAGGGAGGGTTGGCCCTGGTCTTGCCATTCATTTGACGCTCTTTTTTTAACCTGCTTCCCGTGGCGACTAGATGAGGTTGTGCCCTTGTAAATCGAAGTGGTTTGAGGAAAAATAACTCAGAAAGTTGGAGCTAAAATTTTCCCTAAAGTTACGTAACTCCCAGCTGATGCTGAATGCAAAGCGGACTGAGCCAGCAGTGTCACTAATCACAAGTGTGCACTGAGGTCACGGTGTTCTAGTTTTTTGTCCAAAGTGAATATAAACCATTCAGCAGCACAATGTCAGAGTAGAATACCTTTTATTTAAGTGTTTGTTTATGTCACTGTATTTATCGATGTGGCTTTTTAATGGATTTTGACTTCAGCATGTTCTCCTGCTTCCAAGTGCTTCCAAGTCTTAAGAATAAAATTAATTAAAAATAATTAAAAAGGAAAGTTGCTATATTATTTTAGTCTCAGTGAACTTTTCCACAGGAATGAATCTGAGGAAATCTGTCTTCTTTTGCTGATAGTTATATTAGATGATTGTAGGAGTCCTTCCTAATCTGTACAATTTAACCACTTGTTTCAAGACATTACTTCATTGGGCTTTCTTATGAAGGATATATTTTTGTGTATTGTGTTTACTTCTTACTGAGGTCAGTGAGAGTTTGGAATACTATAGTAATTTGTTTTTTCTGAAATAAGAGATCTTGTTTTTAAGTCATAGGAGAAACCCCCAATTTCAAAATGTCATCAGTCAAACGCTTGGTTTATGCAGTAATTCATTTCTTGAGAGAGCAGAGTCAGCTGGATACCTTCACTGCAGATGAACAAGAAAGCTTGGAAGGTAAGTTATATAGATCCTAATATATAAATATATATGTATAATACCTACTCATATGTTAACTTGCTTGATGCATATTGTCATAGAAGATAACTGGAGTAACCTAGCTGAAACTGCCACAAAATACTGTCTGTGAATAAGATCGTGATCTTAATGTTGCTGAGATTATGAATTTAAAACTATCTCTCATTTTTTATGTGTCCCACAACTTTTTGGCTGCTGATTCTTTTTCTCTTTATTTTTATGTTTGATTTCTTTCTGCACTTTGTGTCTGATTGTAGCTGTGTTGCCCACAAAGAAAGTAAAACAATAACTATACATTGGTTTTGGTATATGGGAAGAACTCCCATTTCATACTTTCAAGAATTCCATGTAATTTATGAGGGAAGGCTAAGAGATCCCAAGAATACAGAAATTAAAATAAATGCTTTTAATTTCTTTTCTACTTGTATAGTGATTCCAAAAAGTGCATGGTAGTGAATATTTTCAGTATTGTATAGCTTCTGTTATACATTCAAGTCCATCTATCTTTAGACATAGCTACAAAAAGATAGACTTCTGTGTGTATTCCTCTGTTGACAGACATGCATTGAGTCTTTGTTACTTCATAGTATCTGTCTTTCTCCTTCGTGCTGCTAATATTCCTTTTCCCTAATCCCTGGGGACTTCATGGGAGGTGGTATCACAATGTGGAATTAAGCAAGAGAAGAACAGAAGGTCTTAATTCTGTATTGAGCTTTTCATAGCATCTATTTAAAAGACCTGTTTTTGCATTGTTTCAAGCAATCTTTAGTTGTATGACTCAGAGGAGGAATTTGGAGGTATAGAGGGACGGCAATAAACAATGTCCAGGCAGTTGATTAGTGACTTACCTGAAATCTGAGGTGTGCAGAGTAGACTCCTCTGAGGCGCAAAGCAAGTCCCACTTTTCAGAGGCATAAACTTAAAAAGATAAACCCGGAGTGTGCTTTCTTCAAATAGCTGTTGGTTTTACAGTTCACTAATGTAAGAAAGTAACGTTTATATAATGATATTCAAAGGATACTCCCAAAAGAATAAAAGCCAAAAGATTTGGATTTACATCAGAATCTGGAACATTTTGTACATTTGAAAAGTGGTAGATGTCTATGATTTTAACCTATATCAGGTTATGATAATGTTCAGCTGATGAAAGAAAGCAATGTTTTTGGAAATCATATAATGAGAGATGAGGAGTATTCTATTTATAGTAAAACTGGTAAACATTGGTCTATGACTGAAAATTTACCTCAAAACATGTCTTAGAGCAGCCTTAACCAATGTTTATATGAAGGAATCCATTTTAAGATTCTGTTTTTTGAACAAAAGATATTATAAAACCTCAAATGCTGATGTAAAATTTCCCAATTTAATATAGATATGAAATCCTAATTTTAGAGCTGTACCCTGCCAAAAGCATGGTACCATATGCTATGTGTTAGAGGACAGGAGGTGGGTATTCTGAATAATTGACTCATTTTAGTTGTGCAAAATATCTTCAGTTCATGTGGAGTAGCAATAGCCAAAGTCCCACCTATTGAAGTATTTGATGTTAGATGGGATATAAAGGATGAAAACAATTGACTTATGTTTTTCATTGATACCTTTTCATTGATATATCTACTTGGTGTCCATGGAGAGAAAAAACACTGTATGTTGTTTTTTGTTGTGGTGGGGTTTTTTTTGTTCTGTGTTGTTTTGGTTTTGGTTTTGGTTTTTTTGGGTTGTTTGGTTTGTTGTTGTTTGTTTTTCTTTTTTTGTCTATAGCACCTATTTCTGTGGGATTAAAGCAGAAACTCTCTACAGTGTGCACAAAGCCATGATTTTTTTTGTACTTCTAAGATCAGTGTACCACAATGAATTTCTCTAAGGCAGTGTTTCCAAAACAGGGAAATGCACCCCTTAAGGCAAGGGATGCATGTAATACTTGAGATGCATGCCTGCTGTGATGCCTTGATGTTGCTTGCAGCTTGTGCTTGGACAGCAAAAACTCTGGAGCTGTGTGGCCCTGGGGATGCTGAGCTGGGCTCTGGCATAGCTCAAGTGCTCCTGTTGCCAGGTAGCAGGTGTTTGTATGAAACCCAGCTGTGCAGTAGAGATGTAGGTACCTGTACTGGTTTTCAAGGTTGTCAGTACAAGCTTCAGCAACTGTCTAGGCCTCTGAAGGTGCGTGTGATGGTGGAGGTAATAGGGAGAATGGGTAACCTTGGCCTTTGAAATCAGATATAGAAAAGTCTTAGATTAGTAGCTCAGATGGTGCAACAGGTCTTTCCCAACTTCCTGATGGTATCAAGGTTTTGGCAGCGGACAGTGCCTCACTTTGATAGTGTGATAGTAAGATGCTGGCAGTCTGGTCTCCTGAGATACTTTTCAGACAAAAACAAGTCTTCACTCCTTTGACTTTACTAGGGTCTGGTTTTTACATCACATTAAGACAGGGTAGTTATTGATCTTGTCACAACTTAATACATCTTCTGATTTGGAAAACTTTCTGGTTTGGCTATGTTTATTTTTACACAGGTTTCAGTTGTTGGCTTGCATGTTAACCAGTGATTATTATTCTAACGATAGATTAGAAGGATTATGAATTCCATTTTTAACTTAAAAGAGAAATGTGAGAGTTCACGGTAAAAACTGATAATTTCATGGAAATGCTTACTAGTAATAATGTTATACTCAGGATTGTTTTGTTTAAGCATAATGTGCACTGATACACTTTGCAAAAAGCTCCTGTATGATGGAGAGTTGGTGCCACAGACTTAATGCCTTCAGAATGATAAAGGAGAGGGTTGTATTTTAAATCTGTGCAAAACTACAAATGAGGTGAAGCATTCAGGAAATGGAATGCCTTTAAGTGAAAATAAGTTTGAGGGGGAAATTAGTGAGTATATTATGGCAAGTGGCTTCCTATTAAGTCATTTAAGGAAAAATTAGATATCTAATTCCTCTGATTTTATGATATGCCTGCTAATAAGTGCTATAAATATATAATCCAGAATTCAGCATGATCAGTGCTTACTTTACAGGAATTAAGTTCTTCTACGTAGCTGGAGACAAAGGAGTTTAACCCATATCCTTCAGTGCTCTTACTGAGTAGTTTACAATGTGGCAAATTGATACATTTTTAGTGTTGATAGGTTATAGGAGCAAGTTGTATACATGTTTAACAATGTATTCAACTGTTACTTGTTATCAACATTAATTATGTATCATACCTGATTTTTTCTGAATAATTTCTGTTACATGTCATCAGAGTTGGTATTTTTAAAATTACATCTTCTAAGTTTTCTATTTATTTTACAAGTCTACTTTTTCCCCCTTTCTGCCAGCTGTGACATAGAAAATAAGCTTCTCAAACTGGCCTTACTGTTGTTAAATTTCAGTAGTTCTACTTTTCCAATTTTGGGTCAGTGTTAAGGTTTATTATAATGCAAATAATAATTCAAATTATATTTACTATATTAAACTTGGAGTGAAATTCAATGTAAATTCCAAGATTCCATTTTTACTGATACTTAATTTTAATTCAGGTGCTCCTTGTTATCTGTAGTTCAAGTTAAAAAAGTATTTTTTCTGTTCAAACTAGGCTTTATAAAGACTCTTCTTTGCTCCTTCTCAATTTTCATTCTAAAACATTTAGATGATAAACCTTAATAAAAACGTTGTACTAGATTCTCAAGATGATAGGGAAAATAATTATATAATTTACGATACTATAATTAACAGAATACTTACAAATTTCCATTTTCTTCCAACTATTATGTCACACAAATATATGGCAGTTGTGGTGTTTTGAGATGGGGTGTGTGATGCATGCACAGTTGTATTATGAATTGTGGTGTTTTTTTTAAATCGTCGTATTTTTATGTTTTAAAAAAAATTAAATCATTGAAATAAAACTTTGAAATTTGTTTAAGAGTAATGGCCAAACTATGCATGGATTCTCTATAGCTTATAGTATTTTTCAGCAAATCAATTCTGCAGGGATCAGGTAGCTTCTCTTTATTTTATGGTATGTGCCAAAGAGCTGCTTTTACTAGCTGAATAAGGCAGTGAATCATAACTTTATAAATAAATTAGTGAAATTACACTTCTGTTGACAAACCTGTAAATTGTGTTGGGGTTTTTTTTCTTTTTTTTTTTCCCTTCTAAGTTGCAATTCAGTGTTTGGAGACTGTGTTTAAGATTAACTTGGAAGATACTTACCTTGCACCTCCACAGCATTTGATAGAAATGTTCACAAACTCTTTTCAAAAGGTAAGAATTTAATTCTATTCTAGAGTTACTCTGCCAATATGTGCTAAGATTTCATATTGTATACACAATGTTAAAGTGCTGTATAGGTCAAAATGATGTGGAAACTTAAGGAAAACATGAAAAAAGTGAAATTTCCATAAAAGCTAGCAGAATGCAAATCTTTTTGTGCAATGAGAGTAACTAATTTCAGCTACACAAGGACAATTCTATATAGAAAATTACTAAACAGTGGATGTCTTAGTATCACTTGAAGGATTTTATCCTTCAGTTAAGCATTTTGCAATTCCCCAAGGTAGATGTCTGTGAAGTGCTTGAAGTCATTCACAGTTTACTGATGCTTCTCACTCCTTTCTGGAGGTAATTTAGTTGTTGAGTTTTAAATACATTTCCATAAACAATAACCTTATAGTGCAAACTTAAAAAATGTGTACTAATTATACATGTGGTCTGGGATCCCCAGTACAGGAACCGCAGGAACTACCAGGATGGCAAACAGGAGAGTCAGAAGTAAGAAAACCAAGAATGTAGTAACACACCAGCTCTCTTCCCCTTGGCTTCCTTGAAATATGTGGTGAGCCATAAGGTTTTCCAGTAGTAGAAAGCAAGCTATCTTTCTCTTCTAAGGATGTTTTTGAGATGTTTAGTTCTTTCATACTTCCTGTGTACTACAGAAAATCTGGTTGCTTATTGATACAATGCTGCCCAGAAGAGGTTTGTAATAAAATCAGGGCTTACATTTTAATGAAAAAAATCTTGGTTTGTTCACATACAGAATGACATGCTGCCTCTCTCAAGTTCTTTACCAGAGGATGTTGAAAAGGCTGACCAACTGAAGGATGAAGGTTTGTAATAAACATAGGAATAAACATGCTATGCTTAAGATTTTTGGCTTATCATGGATAGTGATAGTGTAGCAGCTGGGCAACACACACCCCACACAAAAACTTCAACTTATGTTCTCTGACAATTGTTACTTGTAAGAGGTCTAAGTGATTTGCTCCATCTGAGGTTGAAGAAAATATAGTCTATTCTCTCTCTTGCTCAGGAGATTGCTTAAAAACTAAGGGATAAGATGTGAAATCCTGGGCAACATTCCTGAGTAGTAGAAGCTTTAAAGGATGAACAATTATTATTCAGTATATTACAGATTTCTCTGTTTGTCCATGGAATTGCTATACAAGTTTCTACTTTATATTGAAATACTGAAAAGGTTATGTGATGTCAAGGATTATGTGCTAGTTGAATATTAAAACTTTGGTGAAAAGATGACCCAGCTGAAGCTAATGGAAAAATTCTTGGGAACTTACTAGGTTTAGTACTTCACATATGTGAAATAATTTGTGTGTTCTATAACAACCACAGAAAAGCCAGTTGTTTATTTTCCCTTTGATTGATGTTATTGCTGTTATGTGAGTAAAAGCAGCTGTTACACAGAAGTCTTCACTAATGCTACCCAAGAAGGAATCAATTTTATTTCCCACCTAAAAAGAAAGAGGTGGGGAGAGGGTAACTAAGTTTCTGATAGCAAGGCAGATGTAATTTCAGGATAAAGAGGTGGGCTGTTCTTGAGAATGAATGAATCATTTCTGTCTTTTCCTAAAACTGGTCATTTGTGGTCATGAATGCAGTCCATTACTGGCTCTAATAGTAAGTTTTCCTAGTTATTGAAGTTACTTATTAGCTCTTTAATTCTAAGAATAAGAACTCAAACAAGGTTAGGTCTCAAGTGAAATTAGTTTAAGTTGTGACCTACCGGCTGCACATACTGCCTTTTCATTTTGCTGTTAACTGCCAGCTCATGAAAAGTGAAGAATACCTGTAGCACTCTATATGGTTATTGGGCTGTGGGGATATTCAGCACTTTCCAGCTGTGGGTGTTATAGCGATGCCTGTTTTAAATCTATGATTTCTCTCTTGTCATCTGTCAGCCCTCAGGGGTTTGTGAAATAGACTGAAGAAATTAAATTAATGGTATGTGCTGTGTGTTAGTCTTTGTGTGGTGTTACTAAAGCAATTCCATGTCTCTGCTGAAAAAATTGGTAAAGTCTAAACTTCATCAAATGGCCATGTAAAATGTCAGCTATCAGGGGCATTAGTAAGCAGTTTGGAACTGCTTGAAATACTTCTGGTTAATTTTCCATAATAAAATTAAAACTTCCTGTCCTGTCTTCTGATGCTGCCCTGTCATGTTAATCCTCCTCGTTTTCACACAAGTATTATCTGTCACTACTGTCATGCTTTTCAGTTCAGAGCACTTTTCTACCCTGAGTTAGGGAGATAGATTAGATAACTTTGGGAAGTCCATTTGGCCCATATCTTCTATAATACTGTAATTGTTTAACTGTAATTTCCTTGTTTCTATCTGTATGTCCTTACCAATGGAATAACTTCCCTCACTTTTGTGGCCATGAACCTGCTCTTCCTCTGCTCTCAAACCAGCCCTAGTGCCTGTAGAAATTAGCTAATGAATAGCAAAAGAAAATCAGACAGCTGAGTTTTTTCTTGGTCATTATAAAATGAGAAGTAATGTACCCTCCACAAATGCTTGAATTTACTCCTTGACACTTTTGCTTACTGTAAGCTATGTAGAACACAGATTATGTACAGGTTTGTATAGTGTAACAAACAGTGGCTTGATCCTAGAAAGAGCTTGGTGTTACCACAGTATAAATTACAACAACAGGTAGTAGTTTTGTTATAAAGGACATACATTCAAAAGTATAACGATTTGTGAGGTTTTTTTTGTCTTAAGACTTCTTGTCTGGCGTTAAAACAAAATATTACAGTTGTTTTTCCTTTTGTCCTGAATTGCTTAATCTTAGCAGAAATAGTAGGTCTAGCTATTTTCGTGTTTTCCTTTAGCCAATTTTGAGACAAAATGTTGCACTTACTGAACTTTTCCAGCTGTTGCTTCTGCAGTTATCTACATCTGTAGTAATCTCTTGACCTATCCATCCCTTCTCTTGCTTATTTTGGGAGAGGGTTCAAATATTCTGCCAAATATAAGGAAGTCAGTGGAAGTCTATAATTTTCCTGACAATTTCTTGACCAAGAAATCAAGGCTTCTGCAGGACCAGAAGGCCAAAGATCCATAGTCACAGGACCAGGGACAACCTTAGGCTTGGGCACTCCGAACTAGGACTTTTTCCTCTACTACTCTGTCATGAGGAAAGACAGAATCTACCAGGACTGCCCTGTGTTAGAAAGAATGTGTAAAATTTATTTTGTTTTGAAAGACATTACTCTAGAATTTTCTTTCCATAGAAAATTTTTTTCTGTATTTTTTTTTTCCTGGGCTTAAAAAATATGAAAGTTCATTTTAGAGTATGTGCTATGCATACTTTTCATTTTGCTAATGAGTGAATTATGTGGCAACACAAAACTGGGTCTTACATGCTTAGTTTTTCGTTTGTTTAATTTTCAGTGTTATATGTAGTTAGAAGCAATTTATTTGCACATGTGAGAAAATGAGACCAAAAATTAGATACCATATAAAGTATTGGATTATGAGGCTTGCAAAGATAGTTAAGAGTGATTAATTTATATTAGAGTGAAACTGCAGCTGCAATTACACTTCACAGCTAAGTGATCTTTGCTTAGCAGCAGAAACTAGTTGGAAAGTGTATAATAGCAAGATCAGAAGGGAAAGGTTTATGTGGTAGAATACAATGTGCATAATAAAATTAACAGACATAGTAGATGTTTTTATTTGCATTTTTCCATGCCAATTCTATTTAAAAGAATGTTTCTCTAAAAAGGACAATCATATATACATCATATAGATGCTACAATGTGGCTGCTTTATTTCTTTTATACACAGTACTGTATGTTTTAACTACTTAAAAGCTATTTATATTTTATTTCAGGTAATAATCATATGAAAGAAGAAAATTATGGTGCCGCAGTGGATTGTTATAGTAGAGCTATAGAACTGGATCCAAACAATGCAGTCTATTACTGCAACAGGTAAAAACAAAATAATACACCCTTTTCATTCCTGAACTTCATTAACATTATTTTAAAGAAAAATTGTGAAGTAGATCAAAACAACATGAGGCTAAAAAAAATCCACTGTTCATAAATTTATCGTTAAATTTGTAGAAGATCTAAAGCGAAAGTGAGCTCGTTCAGCATATCTGTATGAGTTAAATATGAGTTTGAAATTACTTGTAACACTTGAGATATTTTTCGGATGTCTGTATTAAAACATAATGTATACTGTAATTGGCAGGAGTAGAAATACTTCACTCTGTGCATTACATTGTCACATATCACATTTGTGAGGACCAAAATGAATCTTGATGTCAGTAAGCACAGTATTGTATGAAGTTATTTAAAAGAAGACAGGCAGTTGCTTGGTGTTTTGTGGGTGATGTAGTATTTGAATAAATATAGGCCTTATTCTTATCTTTTTAAGCTAGTTTGGGAGCAGTGGAGAGGTTTTGCCTTCAACAGTTTTGCTTTTTACTCACAGCAATGAGAAAAAGAGCTGAGATGCCCCTGAATTTTTAGCTGACCATATAATTTTTTAATTAACATGGAAAAAAACATTTTCTGTTAAAACACATGAGAGATTAAACGTTGTCCCCAGCTTTTATCCATACATCTTCACTGGCATCTGTGGAGTTGGGCAGCTGTTAAGCAGCCTAAATATTTAAAATATATAAGTAGTCCCATTCAGAAGAGATTTTAATCAAAGTCAGAAAAAACCTGCAATTTGGAAGTTATCACAAAAGAAAGGATTGAATATAGTGATGATTAGGATCTAGCGCTCCTAATAAAAAAGAAGAATGCTTTATGCAATGGAAATACTGGCATTTCTTTAGTCAAGAAAGAACAAATCAGTGTGTTTTGAGACCTTTCAAACCGGGAAAGTTTTGATTATTAATCTGTTACAATGTCCTTTTTAATGTGGGCAAGTTTTTAATATTATTGTGTAAATGTCCACAACATTTAGTATTTCCCTGATATAGAGATGCAATTATAATTTAGTAATTCAGAGATTATTGAGAAATGTTATCCTGAGCAAGCGTGAGTTGTCTGCTAAAAAATTGGGCAGGGAAAAATCACAGCATTCCTTTGAATGGCAGTAAAATTATACTTGTTGCTTGAAAACTCCAATCGTATAAAATACTCTTGCTTAAACAGTGATTTTATGTAAACTATTATTTGAGCATTTCACTTCTTGTAATGGGTTTTATGACATATTTTGTGCATAGTCATATGTTGTATCTAAAACAGTTCCTTAGGATTATTTATCCTTTGTGTCCTCAAAGGTGAGTGCATGTTCTCCAGAGCCCCAGTCTAGCAGTGCACTTCAGCATGTACTTAATTCAGAACATTTGTTTGTCCTACCTAATGAACAAAAGCTTAGGCATTGTCTAAGTAGTGAATGAAAAGATTAAACAAGTCTAAAATTAGTAATGGATATGTGAATATCTAAGCCTGGTTTTTGTTTTGTTTTTTTCTTATTTTTTTTGACAAAGCTCTCCCTTCCCTCCTTTCTTTCTCTTAAGGGCTGCTGCTCAAAGTAAGCTCAACAAGTACAGTGAAGCAATAAAGGATTGTGAGAGAGCCATAGCAATAGATCCAAAGTACAGCAAAGCATATGGCAGAATGGGGTAAGCTAATACAAACCTGAGTAAACACTGAAGACCTAAGTGTAAATCAACGTGGATTTTTCTGAAATAAGTGGAGGTGTGTTGTTTTACTTAGCTGGCATTCTTGTTCTGAAAGTGTAGCAATTTTCTGAGGGTAACCCTATCAGGCTGTCAGCTTTAAGTTTTATATACATGGTTGATGTCAGCATTTTCATATCAAATTTCATCAGTTTGCAATCTTTCTCTTTCAGTTTATCAACTTTACAAATTTAATTTAGAAAGTCACAGTGTGTTTTTTCTACCTCCTACCTAGTTATGAGTAATCAAAATTCTGCAGTTGAAACAGTGAATCTGTTAATGATGCTGTTAGGGAACAGAATCCTGAAAGTGTTGGGGCTTCACACTAGCCTGCTTTTTCTGTTCAAGTAGCTCTTTGGAAGCAGATATTTTAGCAAGGCTAAGCTATGTCCCTTTGGTAATTTTTCTCACTCATGTCAGAAAGATTGACCCTATAGATCTTTAGGCAATGAGTCTAAGTGCTGTCTGAAAAAAATGTCAGGAATGTTCTCCTGAATGGGTTATCTACTTGAGTTGGATTCTTCCAAGACGCGTAGCTTGGCATTTTCAATTATCAAACATATGCTGTGTGTGGGCTGAATGCTGCATAAGGCTTTTGAGGTTGTATATATACTAGTAAATTAAAAAATGCTTGGAGCTGTTTGTTGGGTCAGCTGGCACAAAATGGCTCATGTCCATTACTAATATCTAGTTTGCAGTATGGAATGGCCACATCCAAACTGCCTGTTGCTACATTGAGTTGGCCTGTGCTGAATTTTGAATCATGCCTCAAAATTGTCAGGAATAATGCTTGTTGGCCTAGGACAAAACCATAGCAGGAGCCATTTATTTAAGGTAAAGACAATGGAATTCTATCACTTGAAAACTTTCCCCGATACACTTTATTAAGCCTGACTGGCTTTTTGAGTATTAATTCACTTTCAAAATTTAGGGACTATTGCATTGGCTTTGTCCTTTTTAACTCTCTTCAGGTAATTTCTTCATAGAGCACAATCTGAGATCTCCTGATGTCAGTGAGATGGAGGAAAGCTACAGGCTGATTTAACTGGAAACTGGAGGTTATTTTAGAAGTTTGGATGTAAGACCAGTGTGCCTTTTGATATGCAGTGTAAATGAGATCATTCTTGGGGGCAATCTTTTTTTTTCCTCTTTTTTTTTAAATTTTTCTGGTTGTTTTTATAGAGGATATATTTTGAGCTACAAGGCATTGCTTAACTCAACAGATGGATATAACAGTACATTGGTCATAGGCTGAATGAGGAAACAGTACTTGTTTACTAGTAACTGAAAAAAATAAATGCAGAAACCACCTTCTCAACAAAATATCCTTATGAGAAAGCTGTGTTCTCTGACTACGTTATGCAGGCATATCAGTTTTTCTCAGGATTTGACAGAAACTCTTCATATGTCACAGAAAGATGCAGAAGTGCCACAGAAATAGGCAGAGATGGGAGCCATATAGACAGCTAAAGTGATACTTCCAGCATGACCCTGAGAGAGCACTGGTCTGGGTAGGAATTGTGAGCATCACAAACTGTTGCCCACTGTTCTGACTTGTACTGTGTTCAGAGAAGCAGAATTTTCCACATTTTCTCTGTAAAAAAACGCATGATTGCTTAACAGAAATACCTGATTGCATTTCTTATCTGGTCAGAAACTATTTTGGCAACTTAATAGGGCAAAAGGGAGAATGTTTTTACTAATGGGAGTAATAGTGTTAAGAGAGAAAACAGTATTGCATGGGTTCCTCTGGGAATATATATACTGGAAGCTCCTAGAGTTTCGTACTGTACTGGAGTTCACCATCACTGAGAGTAATGACTGTGATTGATACATCCGACACACTGAGCTCTCTTGCCTGAGATAAGGCTAAGGTCTGCTAGTGGGCATTAGCACAGCTTATCAACCCAGAATGTGAGTTACACAGATCTTTCACAAAATGTGGAAAAGATCAGTTTAGTTTTATGGTCAGTACAAGTGGAAAATACAGTAGAAGATAGAATTGAAACTGCAATCAGATGGACTTCTGGAATAACTCAAAAGAAATATGATGTTTTAAATGTAGTAGCTAATCTAATTTGAAAACAAGTACTGTTTCAGAAGTAGTAGATCTGTCCTTTGCTCTCTTGAGCTGCTGGAGAAGAATCTTTTTCAAAACCTTAAGCAGACTTCTCTGATAAAAGGGTGTCTTACGGCATCTTACAGATGTTACTGTTATCCTGTATAATCCATTTATCAAGCTGTTGAAGCCGAATTTCTGAAAGGAGAACTTGCACTGCTCCTAAGACAAAAATCTATTACACTGAAATTTGTGTTTTCATTTGGTTTCTTAAAGTGGCAGAACTGACATTAAGAGTATCTTCACTCTACTTACCCATGTACCCTTCTGAATAATCTCTTGGATCAAAAGGTCTGGGGGAAAGAGAGGAATTAATGAGCTTATGCAAAAAGTCATGGATGCTGGATCAAGCTTGTGCTCTCAAATACAGAGTAAATCATTTGATGATGTCAAGGAGTTTTTAATGAAACTTACATA